ATTATTTTAATAATTTTTTATTTTAATAAAAAATTCATTAACTATAACATTTGTGGGTGTGTGTAGGGTTTTGTTTGAGAACACACACACAACACAAACACAACAGAGCCGTCTCATCTCCTCCTGCTCTCTCCATCTAGGTTTTGCCTTCCTCTCTCTCTCTTTCACACAACGACGACGCCAATCATCTGTCACCGCCGATCCTCCCTCACCCCCGATGCTCCCTCACCGTCGCTCGTACCTCACTGTCGATCCTCCTCCCTTACCGCCGCTGCTGCCTCCCTCTCTCTCTCCTCACCGCCCCTCACCGCCACTCCTCCCTCACCGGCGATCTTCCCTCACCGCCGATTTCAAAGGGTATCTCTCTCTCTCTCTCTGTGTGTCGGGATTTCGGATATAGGGGGTTTTCATACACACATATATATATATATATATACATCTGTGAGTGTATATAGGGGGGGTTTTTGATCTGTTACATATATATATATATATGATCTGTTTTTTTTACTTCATCTCTTTTTTTATATAGATCTGGAGCTTTATATCATCTCTTTAGTGTTGTCCAATAACCCACTTAAGTCTTTCTTTCTTTTTTCTATTTCATGCTGGAGATGTCGAGGCTGATAGGAATCTTTCTCTTCATGACATTGCAGATGGTGATGGAGATCGATGACTGAGATCGATGCCAAAGAACTACGACAGCAAAAAATGAGGCAAAGCTTCTAATTTTTTGGTGATCAAACTTCACTAATGGGATAAATATAACACTAGTTTGCAATTTATAATATTTTTTATGTACATATGCATCTTACCTTGAGCCAACACATAACCCTACCTCTTGGTGAGGTGAGGTATGATAGCCTTTTGAAGTGAAACCTTTATATTTTTGTTGTGTTTTTGCCTGCATATTACTCTGTTTTTTTATGTTCTTTGGTGATAGATTCTATTTAATTAGTTGGGTGTGCATGCTGACTTGTGCTGATTAAGTTTTAGCACTGCATTTCTTAAAAATAACAGAAAACAGGGATAGTTTATTCATTGGGTTGAAAATTTTTTGTTGGATCTAAAATTGGGTTTGGAAATAGGTAGATAAAATTGGGCTTGCATTATGGAACCGTTTTATGCACATGATTTCTGGACTACAAGCACATCAGTTTCATTGATTTGGCTATGTGCAAGAAACCAGAAAATTAAAATACTATAGTTAATCTAATGAATAAAGAGAAAGAAATACTCAATCTTGAGTTCCAAGTTAAATTGCAAATCCTAATTATGAAGATGGAATTGAAAAATAAATGTAGTTGCAAGATTTCCTCTTTGGCTTATCAGCCTTAAATGGAATTGAAAAATAAATGTAGTTACGATTGTAATTGTTTTGTAATCGTAACTTTTCCTTTATCAGCCTTAAAAGGTTTCATCTGATATGCCATGGGAGTGATTTCTTAAGCTTTTGGGAAGTAGTATTCATACTAACAGCAATGAATTGAGTCTATTGTAATTCCCTTGGGATGCACGTCCTTCCTGGTTTGATTTTGGTTTTTTTGATTGATTTTTCTTGGCAGGAAAATACGGAGTCTTTGTCTGATAAGGAGAAGACCTTGTTATCCCTAGCAAAGATGGGGTATACGGTGGAAGAGGCGTCAATAGCTATGGATAGATGTGGTGCATATTTGATAATATGTTTGTTTTATGCTATTTTTGGTTTTGATATTGTTTGTTCCGGAGATCATTCAGGTTTTTGGATTTATATTCTGCCACACGTATCTTTCCATGTATGTTTTGTTCTGTCCATTATCTGTCAACATGTGAATAGTTGGTTGTGGTTTCTTTTTGTTTTGGTTGTTAAATTTTGTTGTCATAATCTGCATTCCATTTCCTCATGGGACTTGCTACTTACACTGCATATTTTAATGATATCAGTTCTGATTTTTGTCTCTGTGATGTTTGCACATGTTTTTATGTATCTAAATATTAACATATACCCAAAATTGTGACTCCATATCAAGATGATTTGTGTTATGTGTATGAGGATTGCTTGTCTTTGTTTCTCTTTGTTGTCTTTGGCTAGTTATGTTTGTGTATCTGTGTTTGCTTAGGTATCTCTATATATCTTTATTTTGTTTCTACTGTCCAGCAGAGAAGAAAACTATATACATGTTATTTATGCCTCCTAGGTGCTTGTTAAAATGAAAAGTTTGGTGAAACAAAAATGTTATATATAACTGCCCTTACAAAAAAAATTCTGGATTTTTTTGAAGAATTTTTTTTTCGTTATTTAAAAATAAAATAAAAATTAAAAAACGAATTCTAGAATGTATGCTAAAATGACAATAACATTGGGCACAAGTAGATATCAGTACATTGTATTTGGCAGCAATGTTTCAAACAATTTCTAAAAGTTATGTGAGAAAGACAATGGGTAACTGAATCATGAGTTTTGGCCTATTGATTGAGTAGCACCACTATGTAGTTTGAGGTTGTGGTTCAACTTCTATGGAGAAGAGTTCAATTGGGTTATATGTAGTTTTTCTTATGATTGTAATTGAGTTTGGAGATTGTTGGGCTTTTAAACTTCAAATAGATGTGTATTAAATTAACAAAAAATAATAAATTTTGTTTTCTCTAATTTCCTTGTTCAACTGTTATTGGAAATTTGGAATTTAGTTATGATCTCATAGTGCGCAATATGTGGAGTGGAGCTTTCGGGTATGAGACCAACTGTTTATATTTCTTTCTTTTGGTTGTTTTATTGATAGGGTAACTTTTATGTGAATTTGATAAAAAAAATTCTTTTAAGAACTCTTTTTTCCATTCAACATAATTAATATTTTCGTTTAACACAGTTTTGGCACCCAGTTGGCCCCCTCATCCACAAATATGGTGAGAGGATTGTTTATGACTCTGGAATTGATGCACAGGCTACTGTTTCTAGCATTGTTAGGGACCAAACCTGGCAGTGGCCTGGTACTCAGACTTGGGAACTTACTAAGATTAGGAATTCTAGCCTTAGGGATATGGTGCCTTCTGATAGGAAAGACTAGCCAATTTGGACTCCTTCAAATGGTCTCTTCTCTGTTCACTCTGCTTGGGATTTGTTTAGAATTCATAAGCCTAGAGTGACTTGGCATAAGCTTATCTGGTTTAAGTCCCATATTCCTAGATTAGTACTGTGGTTTGGATGGCTATCCTTGGTGGATTGAATACCCTTGATAGATTGGTTGTATATGGGGTTATGAGTTCTGCTCAGTGTGTGTTGTGTCACCATTAGGATGAGGATTATGAGTTCTGCTCTGTTACATAAATGTAATATGCATTGGCAAGCTATGAATTGGGGTAGTTGTGTGGACCGGTTATCTGGGCAATTCTCTGGTCATTCTTTGGCCACGACTGCTAGGAAATTAATGTTTACTAGTACGACTTACTGTATCTGGCAGGAGAGAAATGCTAGGATCTTCTTATCTGTTTGTACTCCTACTAATATGATTGTAAGAAAAGTTGAATCTCTGGTTAGGTGCAGGCTCTTATCTGTTAACAACTTCAAAGAGGATGGGGATAATGATTGGTTTATGGACTCATGGCATCTTCCTCATACAGTGTTGAGGGCACATGCTCTTTGAGCTGTTTGTACTCGTACTTCCAGTGTCTCTATATATATTACTGCGTGTTTGGATCTTCCTCTTGCAGGTCTCCTAGATCAGTCCTTTGGAGTTGCCTCATTTTCCCCTTTGTATTCACAACTTTGTTGGTACTTAGGGATGTTGTGGTTTGAGTGATTGTGAGCCTTCACAGTTAGTATTGTAATGGCAATTATTGAGAGTGAGTGTTGAGAGCCTATATATGAGTGGTGAGGCTCTATAGCTAGGTTTTTGTGGGTTGAGTGATGGTGAGCCATATAGTTTATCCAATTCTTTTCTGTAGGTTGTCAAGCTGGTCCTAATTGTAAGGGAGTTTTTTTTGTTGAGGGTTGAGTGATTGGTTAGCCCTCATAAATTTTAGTGCCTTGGAGCTGAATGATACATGAAACTAAGTATACCTTAATCTATAATTGAATGATAATAATTGATGATGATGTGATAGTGAAATATTGGTGTTAACTTTGGTTTGTTCTTTGTGATGTTCAGGAGATAGTGATGTCACAGAAAAACCAGTAGACCCGATTAAAGTTTACTCTGAGAGATATGCAGTTGTTCCTGATGACAACGTAAGTGTTCTTTCCACAGTTTTCATTGTCTTCATTACTGGTGTTTAAATAGTTGGTTTCTCCAAAAGATTATAATTTGCAACTGTTATCTATTTATTTGTAGGTCAAAAGGATAAATTTTGCCGAGGGGAAGATCTGATTCTAGAAGTAAGGAATTTGCAGCTTGATTTTTGAAATAGGCTCAAAATTGAGATCTTGTTGGAAATTTTTTATTTTTTTATTTTTTGTAAGAGCATTTAAATATCCAATGTGCTGATTGGTGAATTTTAGATTTTATTTTATTATTTTATTTTTTTTAGGATTTGGGTGAATTTTATAATTTAAATATGCTTTTATGAACATGTACAGTTTAATTATTCTTTGTAAAATATTGAATTTGATGGTTTGATCAATTTTTATTTTTATTTTCTGTTATGATGTTTTTGTGAATGGAATGTAAATAATCAACTCTTAGAGAGTGAGAGACGGCACCACCGTCCTGTTTACTTTTTGTAGGGTTTTGATTACTTAATCATTTGTTGCATAACCTTCTCTTTCAAAATGATGCATATGCTATGTGGGCATAAGCAAAGCTTTGGCATCCACATGCTAGTTGGGCTGACTGAAAAATTAATTCTTACTTTTCCAAGATAAGGAAATGCAGTAGTCTCAAATGTGTCTGTCAATGCACAAATTCTGCCATGATGCTGATTGGTGAATGTTGCTGTTGCCTTATCTGATCATCCAAATTTAATAAAATTTTACCTTGTCATCATCTTCTTTAAATTGATTACTGATGGATGTGTGAAAGATAGGATTAGAAATGAATATATGCGCAA